CCTGGGTCTGTGTGACGTCACACAGCCAAGAATCTGAGAATGACTTGATTTGAGAAAGGGGATATTATTTATAGAGATTTAAAACATACCACTGGGTGGAGTTTTATCATTAGGATGGATGTGTACAAACACTGCCAACACACATTTATGTTCAAATAACATGTAAAAGTAAGAACCCTTGTGTGATTCTGGAACATGATCTGATCCCAGCGATTATTCAAAATAAAGAAGCACATTTTATCCACAGAAAGGTTCATTTCCTACAGTTCGTTATAGTGCCCTACTATGGGTTTGATTTCCAGAGTATGCAAGAACTGATTAAATGTATACTTTAAATGCAATGCAAGTCATTTTAGATAAAAACTAGAAATGCACGATACTAAATTTCTCTGCTGATACCTATAGTGATTATTCAGAATGCCATCTGCCAACGTTTAATGCACTTCAGGTTTCTTTCTCTTTGTGTTTTTATATCAATATGGTACACAATTATCCTATTTAGAGGTAGTTCAAAAGTAATCTAAATGTAATCAAAAGGCAGTCAGATTACATTACCTAAAAATGTATAATGTAGTGGATTACATTGCTATCTACAGTTTTATAGTTTCATGTAATTTAGAATCAGTAACGGATTGTGATTTATAAATAATCTACCCAGCTCTGTATAAGTAGCAGTTGTTGTTGTATTTTTTGGATATGCACATTGGATAACTTTCCGGAGGTAAATGCGAAGTAAAGTGACATACGGATCACAAGATGTTCTATTTTTCCACAGTTGAAACATTTAAGAGCATCAAAACAACATTTTGATGTTTGAATTTCGTGATAAAATGGACAGAATGTGACCTCTGAGACTTTGTTTCATATCAGAAGTAACAAATCACAAAGTTTTATGTGATTACTGGATGGGAGGTGTATTACAAATAATGTCTGGTGAAGGGAAAAACTGTGGACTTGGCATCCCTGGTTTAAACCACAGCTGATTCATGAGGTCAAAGAGCCTGTGCTAACTGTGCTATTTTTTTTAAAGCATTAAAGTGAGATTGCATTCATGCATTATTATTGCATTAACTTCAACAGCCCTAAATTCTACACACATAAGTTGCTGTCTGACACTTTTTTTTCCCACCCCCTTTTGATCTCAAACAATCGGCCACTAAACAATTGATTGGCTGCATCCCTAATAAAAACATCTCCCAAATGCATAAATGTAAAATAAAGTGGCTGGAGTAGCTAAAGACAGTGACAAGAATACCATCAGGCTGTCCATTACCAGTTAGTCACCAAATCAAAACTGTCGGAAGCTGGAGCAACCACTGAACCTAGAAACCACGCATTTCAAAACGAATCATAATAAACCAAGAGAAAACTGAAGATACTCCAGGAACTATGAGTCACCTACTTGGGGTTGGGAAAAACACAAGATGAAGAGAAAATACAAACATGTACAGAACACTTTAGTCTAGTTAAAGCGCTTAGATAGTGAAGTTGAAGCGCTGTTTGCCTCCCATCAGCCAAGTGGGAGCTGTAAGGATGTTACACCACAGAGCGGAAAATATGACAAGCGGCTCAGAATCCAGAGTAAAGGAAGAAAACACATGAAGCTGAAGGCCTGTGACTTACTACACTAAACCCTTCACAACGGATTCAAAACAGCCGATTAACGGCACAGGAACAATACAGGAGTTCGTTATTTCACTCACGGAAGGAGGATACAAAAATAATCATCTCTTATTTGAATTGTTTTCAATTGAAAATGATCTACTTACTATACATTTTCTTTTTTTTTAATGATTCATTTAGTTATTAGCTTTTCATCAACCCACAGGAGTTTGTGAATCCTAGTTTAGGAAGCTCTGAATCATCACAGACATGATAGACGTCATCGTTTTACTAATTCAGAAACCACTTTTACATTTCCTCCCAATCATTCTCAGATACTTCTCTAAAGAGTTATTGGAAATACCACACACATGTCACGTTGAGTCGTGTTAAATACCACACACAGCTCAATTTATGCTCAAATAATTTCTGCAATATAGTAACACACTAATGTTCTGCAGTGACACATTATACTTCTGGATAAACTCATAAACACATCTGAGAGGAAAATAAACCCTTAACACAGGCAGGAATGGTGCATAAACACAAGGGTGATTCAGCAGTAAGTGAGACTTATTACCAGGAACCCAATAGACAGCCATGATTCAAGAAGCCTGATGTGTGGACTTCATTATATTTAGACCAGAGTTCCTGAACAATCCCCTCATAAACCCTAAATCAGAGCAGAAGCACGAGGAGCTGTATGAAAGAATGAAAAAGCTAAGCCAAGCAGTTTTAATCATACCGTAATAGACTAGGATTGATAGTTCTGGACTTTCTTGCACGCAACTTGTTTTTATCATCAAGCACACATTGCCTTAATTCTCTGCTTTACAATGTAACCTCAGAGTTCAGATAAAATAGAAACTATCATCTGTATTTTTCTTGGATAACGACTTGATGACTTCTGTATTAGATATAATGTTATTCTGACCTTGAATTCACAGGGGAGGATTTATACTCTATTTTGACATAAAATGAACAAAGCGTATGACTCAAACCGACATGATTATGGAGAACCAAATAAGAACAAAACAATGAACTTCATTTGTAGTGAACATAACAACAACTAATTTATGAGATTCCAAAAGTATGAATCTAGTGGTTTACTTTGCTAAAAATGTGCTCATCCTCCATACGAGATTAGGATGAGTTTGTGTCTTCATCAGGTTTGGAGAAATGTAGCATTGCATCAGTGTCTCAGCAATGGATGCTCTGCAGTGAATGGGTGCCGTCAGAATGAGAGTCCAAACAGCTGATAAAAACATCACAATAATCCACAGCACTCCAGTCCATCAGTTAATGTCTTGAGAAGTGGAGAAAATAAAAAAATAAAATAAATAAATAAATCCATCAAGGCATTTCAACTTTAAACCATCTTATGGTTCTGGCCATAATCCATAAGAAAGCTTCCTCCAGTGAAAATAATCCACAGCACTCCAGTCCATCAGTTAATGTCTTGAGAAGTGGAGAAAATAAAAAATAAAATAAATAAATAAATCCATCAAGGCATTTCAACTTTAAACCATCTTATGGTTCTGGCCATAATCCATAAGAAAGCTTCCTCCAGTGATAAAGTCCATCTGCTGTTGTCTCTCACATCAAAATCCAGCCACATATGTGTTTAGAGCCGTTTTGTTTTGGCTTGTAAACAGTGCTTGATCTGTGCAGATTTCTCTCCTGATTCAGACCAGAACACTTTTTTCACTGGAGGAAGCTTTCTTATGGATTATGGCCAGAACCATAAGATGGTTTAAAGTTGAAATGCCTTGATGGATTTATTTATTTATTTTATTTTTTTATTTTCTCCACTTCTCAAGACATTAACTGATGGACTGGAGTGCTGTGGATTATTGTGATGTTTTTATCAGCTGTTTGGACTCTCATTCTGCCGGCACCCATTCACTGCAGAGCATCCATTGCTGAGACACTGATGCAATGCTACATTTCTCCAAATCTGATGAAGAACAAACTCATCCTGATCTTGGATGGCTTGAGGGGAGTACATTTTCAGCTCATTTCATTTGCGACTCAACTATTCCTTTAATTTACATTGATCAACAACACACTAAGTTTATCAATGAAAACTCAACTGTGCTGGTTTGATGCACAATGAACATACATTTGAGCTGCCTTTTGCCATTTTCAAATTAAGTTCTTAAGTGAACTATGCTATTTCTTTAAGTATATTATTTAGTGCTGTCAAATGATTAATCACAATTAATCGCATACAAAATAATAGTTTTTATTTGCATAATATATGTTACACACACATATAGTATATATATATATTTTTTAAAATATTTACATTATAAATAAATATTTTATATAAACCTAACATATTTTTCTGAAATATATACATGCATGTGTGTGTATTTATACATACATAAATATACACAGTGCACACATACATATATTATGCAAACAAAAACTTTTACTTTGGATGTGATTAATCGTTTGACAGCACTAGTATTAATGTATGTGTGTATAATGCAGTTACACCTCAGTACAATGTTGTTTAGTTTTCATTCTAACAAACCAAACTATGATTCCAACTAAACTCGACTGATAGTGACACTACAGTGAAAACAGAATTTGATCATTGTGATCATCTTTTTTGAGTATTATAGGCCTAATATAGACACAACTCTCCCTCAAGTCACTTTTTGTAATGTATTTTTGCGGGTAAAAATCCTAAAATATGTTACAGTATTCAACAGGTCATGTGGGGCTCCTGAGATTAACAGAGGCTTCAGTAAGCATTATTTAAAACTTTTTTTTTTTAAATATATATCATTTTTAAGGCACTACTCATTTCATTAGTGCAAAATAAATAAACAACATAAAATAGAAGTACAATACAAATTGTTTGTCTAACATTTCCAGTACCTTCAAACATGTAAATGACAAATTTGTTTTGGTTAAATTATGTTTTTATTTTAAATATGGCTTCTAATTTTCAATCTTGTGATGTAACCCAACTGCAACCAAGACACAGTGTTGTGAAAACGTTTTTCCCCTGAGGCGTTAACAATCCCTCAACAGTGATGCTGTCTAGAAAGCTGACCCAAGTCAGTGTTTGATGAAAAGTGTGTTGTCTTTTCCTCCTCTGGTGCTTATCACCGGTTAAAATAAGCAGGAGTGTTGCATAACTTATGTATAAAACTCACAGTAGCAGTAACATCAGTGTGGCAGCTTAAAAGTCTCCAGTCTCGCTCCAGTCTTTCAAAAGAAACTGAAAGAGATCGTGTTAGTCGCCAGACACACAATAGAGCATTGTGTTCGTTTCATAACAACGAGATTCTAACTTGAGTTTCACATCTTCACAAGACTTCTAAGTGCTCCTCCTCTCTCACTACAGCTCAGACACATCACTAGCAGACTGCTGTTTCTCTTACCTGTCACTGTGTTCAGCGTTATTCTCTCTTCAGTCTTCAGTCTGTGCTGCTGCGCAAGTTTGAACCCGCGCCTCTCCTCTCCTCTGCTCTGCTGTCAGTGCTCTGCAGTGGTTAGTGTTCACTCTGTAGTGCGCACTGCCTCGACAGCACACCCCGCAGCTGCTGGACTGCGTGGAGATGTGAGTGACGCAAAACCTGCTGCGCTTCACTTCCTTAAAAGCAGAAGTATTCTGGCACCTCCACGCAGCTCACAGTTGAAAGAAATAAAGTGGTTTGGAGTGAGAACTATTGGACAGGGATCACCAAGAATATTTGGTGGGAATTTTCAACGCAATGTAATGGTGAATGTTTTTTAGTTGTGCCAAGATCTAACATATTTCATTGGCTAATATTATTTCATTTATGTTTTAGTCGCCATCTAGTATGACCAATTGGAATTTAATCCGAATTTGCAGATGTGTTATGTAAATCTAACTTAGTAAAACATGCAAAGTAGGGTTAAACATCAAATGTCTTGACAATATCCATTTAGACCTAGCATTCTGTTTTCTCACTTAAACAAATATAGCGTTTATTGAATTCATTGAGATCAACCATCAAAGTTAGCATAAGAAAAATGATCAATTATTGTTCTTTCTAGAACTAGCCAATCCTTGCCGAGTGGTTTTGGTTTAAGCCTTTATGAGTGAGAACTATTGGACAGGGATCACCAAGAATATTTGGTGGGAATTTTCAACGCAATGTAATGGTGAATGTTTTTTAGTTGTGCCAAGATCTAACATATTTCATTGGCTAATATTATTTCATTTATGTTTTAGTCGCCATCTAGTATGACCAATTGGAATTTAATCCGAATTTGCAGATGTGTTATGTAAATCTAACTTAGTAAAACATGCAAAGTAGGGTTAAACATCAAATGTCTTGACAATATCCATTTAGACCTAGCATTCTGTTTTCTCACTTAAACAAATATAGCGTTTATTGAATTCATTGAGATCAACCATCAAAGTTAGCATAAGAAAAATGATCAATTATTGTTCTTTCTAGAACTAGCCAATCCTTGCCAAGTGGTTTTGGTTTAAGCCTTTATTTCCACACTGAACAAAATTATAAACGCAACACTTTTGTTTTTGCCCCCATTTTTCATGAGCTGAACTCAAAGATCTAAGACTTTTTCTATGTACACAAAAGGCCTGTTTCTCTGAAATATTGTTCACAAATCTGTGTTAGTGAGCACTTCTCCTTTGCCGGGATAATCCATCCACCTCACAGGTGTGGCATATCAAGATGCTGATTAGACAGCATGATTATTGCACAGGTGTGCCTTATCTCGGCAAAGGAGAAGTGCTCACTAACACAGATTTAGACAGATTTGTGAACAATATTTCAGAGAAACAGGCCTTTTGTGTACATAGAAAAAGTCTTAGATCTTTGAGTTCAGCTCATGAATAATGGGGGCAAAAACAAAAGGGTTGCGTTTATAATTTAGTTCAGTGTATTTTCTTTGAATCTTTTAGTATTTCATTATTATGTACATTTGAGTTCGATCATGACTGACATCAACGGTCTTGGTGTTTGGCTTTAATCCATCTCAAATTGTCCAATGGTACATTTTCCTCATTTGTGAGCGATCATCTCTATTGCTATCGCACCATATTAGTTCAAAGATTGGTTTGATTAACTAAGTTTGAAACAACACGTGTTGTTTTCATGTGGCATTGAATATTGTATGCGTGGAATTAATATTTAATGCAATAATAATATTTATGGTTTCTTAAATAGTCTTTATTGTACTGTATAGCAAATATTTCCTTTTAATATCTGTGTGTCTGCATGCATACAGCCATAAACTCTTTATTGGTTTATAGATTTTTAGTTAATGACTGATAACAACACCTGCTATAAACCTTAATGAACCATATCAACAGATCCGTTTGTGATAATTAAGCACAGACACAACATTAAACATAGCACACATTTCCTGTACATTATGCCATAAACGGATGCAAATAGCAATCATTTTGATTTTGTAGCTGGATAAAATATTGTACCCATTTATTAATTTCTTTACAAAACTACTATTTTGAAACTTGGAGCAAATGAGAGCAGCTAACAGCTGGACATTAACATGAAGAAGTGTGATTAAATAAAAATGGAAAACAAGTTGCCCTTCATGATGATCTTCTTACTGTACATTTATGATATTATGAATATATACAGGCTACTTTTAGATTTGACTTTTTTGCTGCTCTTGTAGTCTCTCCGAATCAGACGAGGATTTCGGCTGAAGCTCGGTCACAGAACACAAGACGATGAACTAGTTTGTTTTGCCATATTTATGGTCATTATAAAACAGAATAAAATTACCATACGTCAAAATTAAAACAGATTACGCCATGCTGTTTTCTAATACATCCAGTGACTGCCAATGAAGAGCCGCTTAAACGGAGTATTGTTCAGCACATTGCTTTTCTACCTCAGTGAATCCAACTAAATATTTTATGAGCCATTTATATTTAATGTGCCGTTACCAAACTGTCTAGTGTAAAAAAATATGTCTCATTACATGTAATGTAGTGTTGAACACACGAACCTTCAAGCGACAGCTTATCTTCCAAGTGCTTAGAAAGGACCAAACTGAAGACTGCGGAGCTGAAGCTTAGCATCTTTACTCATCGGTCGATAGCGTTCGGAAGCAGCAGCGTTAAAGCTAGTGTAACATTTCCTTCTCTAGTGTCTCTAAGACGTCACTTTAAAGTGAGTTATCATTAAAGATTAACAGGCACAAACGAGCACCGCACATTCGACAGCTACCCAGAGACGACGTAAATTAGTGACAAATAAATAACCGGCATTTGTTGCTGTGCGCCAAGCTGGTGTATTTCTACTTTAGGGTCAAAGGTCATAGATATAGGACGTGTATAACAGTAAGCTACTATCGCTTCATCTCAAACTCTCAAATCACTTCTGGAGGGAAGCAGTAAACGGCTCTGCTGAAACAGAGCTTCATGTCTGCTAGTGTTTTGAACGCGTTCATGCGCATAAACAGAATAAAACAAAAAACAAAACAGTTATGATGCGGCCACAATGGAGTGGTTAAAAAGAGATGAAGATGAAGAAGAAGAGGAGGAGGTGTGAAAGAGTGAGTGTTGCAGCGCTCAGACCCAGCCGCTGGTCAGCTTGTAGAACATCTCCTCGTCTAGAGACTCGTTCTGGTCCTTGGCACGCGTGGACAGGAAGATGTAGCCGCCGATGAACTCGTGCACCACTTTGCAGTCCACCTCGGCACAGATGAACGCCAGACTGGGCTCGTCTGCAAACTCCACCGTCACCTGCGTGAGAGCAGAGCAGATGCTGATGTGAGGTCAAGGTGATGCGTGCTGATTTACAGATGTTAAACCCACAGTCTAGAGGTCTGTAAATGATCAAACTCTGCTGTTAAACCTGCTTCACACTCAATCTCCTCCAGGTCTACCATCGTCTGTTTGATAGTTTAGAGTTGCAGTAAAAGCTCTTTGTGTAATTGTAGAAACGTCCAGCTTCAGATTTTGATCAAGTAAGCGTCAGAATAACGTCAGTAATATCTCCAGATGAACACTTACTGCACTGAAGCAGCTCAGCTTTACTTGATTCTCCATCAATCATGTTTTAGAGTCTCAAATCTGATCCTCAGGATCTTTTGAGGAGCGTTTGTTTCCAGCAGCTTTACTTTCACTGTTCCTCAGCGGAGGAATGATCTTCACAAGCCTCTAGAACATCTCACATCGTCTGAGGAGCCTTGATTTCTTCAGCTCTCAGTCACTGCATTATATGTTTGGAGCATTTCACTCTCATCTCACTGAGACAGATTACGGGAGATATAGAGACGACTGATATTTAGATCACTTCAGTTCTGCTGTACTGTTATAAACATCTCACTGATTTACAAGCATCAGAATTTCATGTTACTTTTTTGTCCATATATATCAGGATCTGCACCAATTTGCATATTTTGCTCAGTCTCTAAATAATTTGAATCTCTGAGCTGTTTTTTTCCCCTTCTTCTATAGTCTGACCATATCAGACTAGTAGCCATAAATCATAATATTTAGAAAACACATGCAATGGGTTAACAAACTTCAAACTTCGTTTCATTTCATTTCGAAAACTTTCGAAGACTATTATTTCATGTCAGGCTACTAACCCAAGGGATTTGTTTCACTCAATAGCTGAGATGTCACAACCATTAACTATAAAAAGCCAAAATTCTGTCAATTCTGATTGAGGGCCATGTGCTGAAAGTAAATGCTGCATTATGTCCAACTACAGTGGGTACGGAAAGTATTCAGACCCCCTTAAATTTTTCACTCTTTGTTATATTGCAGCCATTTGCTAAAATAATTTAAGTTCATTTTTTTTCCTCATTAATGTACACACAGCACCCCATATTGACAGAAAAACACAGAATTGTTGACATTTTTGCAGATTTATTAAAAAAGAAAAACTGAAATATCACATGGTCCTAAGTATTCAGACCCTTTGCTGTGACACTCATATATTTAACTCAGGTGCTGTCCATTTCTTCTGATCATCCTTGAGATGGTTCTACACCTTCATTTGAGTCCAGCTGTGTTTGATTATACTGATTGGACTTGATTAGGAAAGCCACACACCTGTCTATATAAGACCTTACAGCGCACAGTGCATGTCAGAGCAAATGAGAATCATGAGGTCAAAGCAACTGCCTGAAGAGCTCAGAGACAGAATTGTGGCAAGGCACAGATCTGGCCAAGGTTACAAAAAAATTTCTGCTGCACTTAAGGTTCCCAAGAGCACAGTGGCCTCCATTCCTTAAATGGAAGACGTTTGGGACGACCAGAACCCTTCTTAGAGCTGGCCGTCTGGCCAAACTGAGCTATCGGGGGAGAAGAGCCTTGGTGAGAGAGGTAAAGAAGGAACCCAAAGATCAGTGTGGCTGAGCTCCAGAGATGCAGTTGGGAGATGGGAGAAAGTTGTAGAAAGTCATCACTGCAGCCCTCCACCAGTCGGGGTTTTATGGCAGAGTGGCCCGACGGAAGCCTCTCCTCAGTGCAAGACACATGAAAGCCCGCATGGAGTTGTGAGATGGTGAGAAATAAGATTCTCTGGTCTGATGAGACCAAGATAGAATTTTTTGGCCTTAATTCTAAGCGGTATGTGTGGGGAAAACCAGGCACTGCTCATCACCTGTCCAATACAGTCCCAACAGTGAAGCATGGTGGTGGCAGCATCATGCTGTGGGGGTGTTTTTCAGCTGCAGGGACAGGACGACTGGTTGGAATTGAGGGAAAGATGAATGCGGCCAAGTACAGGGATATCCTGGACGAAAATCTTCTCCAGAGTGCTCAGGACCTCAGACTGGGCTGAAGGTTTACCTTCCAACAAGACAATGACCCTAAGCACACAGCTAAAATAACAAAGGAGTGGCTTCACAACAGCTCTGTGACTGTTCTTGAATGGCCCAGCCAGAGCCCTGACTTAAACCCAATTGAGCATCTCTGGAGAGACCTAAAAATGGCTGTCCACCAACGTTTACCATCCAACCTGACAGAACTGGAGAGGATCTGCAAGGAGGAATGGCAGAGGATCCCCAAATCCAGGTGTGAAAAACTTGTTGCATCTTTCCCAAAAAGACTCATGGCTGTATTAGATCAAAAGGGTGCTTCTACTAAATACTGAGCAAAGGGTCTGAATACTTAGGACCATGTGATATTTCAGTTTTTCTTTAATAAATCTGCAAAAATGTCAACAATTCTGTGTTTTTCTGTCAATATGGGGTGCTGTGTGTACATTAATGAGGGAAAAAAATGAACTTAAATGATTTTAGCAAATGGCTGCAATATAACGAAGAGTGAAAAATGTAAGGGGGTCTGAATACTTTCCGTACCCACTGTATATTATATAATAATTCCCTTTTTTTTCTTCAAATTCATTCTGTTATGCTATGTTTTTTTTACCCAACCCCCTGTAAAATGTACAATTCTACAGTAAAATCCTGTTAATTATAAATTACCTTACCATATATTCTTAAAAATAGCATTATATGTAATTTTACTGTAAATTACTGTTGAATGTATGGGTTTTACAGGCAAAAATATTAACTACTGTATAATTTATAGTGGAAAACGAAACATCACATAACAAATCATGATGATTTGATTATTTTATATTACATTATCATATTTTAAGTAATCTTAATTTTTCTCATGCTTGTTTCCAATAATGTACCTTAGGTATCATATTTTCGGTTAGTGAATGTTTATTGCATTATTGTAGTGTCATGTGTGTTATCCTGCTAGTATCTGCTAGTGTTTTGTGTTTATGACCCTGTGCATCATCATGTTTTATGGACAGACCACTGAACTCTGATTCATCATGTGGCTTTCTATATTACTATGGTGCTTATTGGTATATGCAAACATAGTATTATTTGACTCAGAATCACAGTATGTCAGATCTTCTGCAATCAGAATGAGCCATAGTTACAAATGGCCTTAATAGACCTTTATCACACTTCCTATATCCGTCGTGTGAAGCGGTGTATCGTCACTTCCGGTCCCGTCGCACCACTATCAAAACTAATGGGAGAATCCTTTCTTTTTTTCACCGGTGTTACTGCAGCGTACCTGGCTGCTTTCATTTTAAACAACGACACTGCGACAGTTTTCAGGATGAACCGCGAGCCAGTTGAAAATCGATTCAAATCGGTTGAGATGCCAAACAAATCGCGATACAATTGGAGCAGGAGTTTATATGAATGCATCTCGGAGGGGAACTGACAGTCTTTAGAAAGGTTTAGATGGCATTTTCTTTTAATCTTGCCTCTGAAAGATGCATATTAAAGTAGAGTGAATAAGTGCAGCTCTGCTTTGTTTGCAGCGGTAAAACACTGTCTCATTGCTGTTCATAAGCGCCACCTGCTGGCAGAGAGAATCTGCATCTCATTCAGCTTGTCTGCCGTTTCCTTCAGATACGTTTTATGTAGTATAGTTTCACAAAACTAAAGTCAGACCATCCTGTTTTTGCTTCAAATTTTGAAATTATACAATCTAATTTAGATTAAAACTGCTCATGCTGCATGCATGCTGCATCTTTGTTTGGATCATGATTAAAATGCAGTGGTTGCCTCTTATTTTAAATGGAAAGAGCTTATTTTGTTTATATGAAGACATTTCTTTTATTTGTGAAACTTATTTGATTTGGGGTTTGTTTTAATATTTCTATTGACCCGAGTATAAGACGATGTTTTTTGCTTGGAAATACATCTGAAAAAACGCGGTCATCTTATATTCAGGGTCTAGACTTTGACATGTTGATAATACACCCACAACAATAGGTGGCACCAAATACACATAAAACGAGTGTGTCATGAAATACGTAATGTAATGCGTGTTGTAAAGATCGCGAGTAAAAACAAGAGAAAGAAAAGCTTACAGCTGCATGAGTCGTGACTGTCACGTTAGCCTGATGGCACCAAACTCTCTTTGTGATTTTAAA